GAGAAAGAGCACAAGAGCACAGTTTCCACATACACCCCAGCTCCGAGGTGTATTGGTGTGCAAAACATGCATATCGTAAACGTCAAGTTGTTTATATGTTTAAAGATAAGTGCACGTGTGCGTACAGTAGGGTGACAGGTGCACTTTTGAGCCAGAAAAGCCAGTCACTTTAAGGAGGACACTTTCTACGTATGTGTGTATATGAATGTCCATATATGTCTTTGGGTATGTGCCAATGTGTGCTCAAGCAACCATGAATTTCTGGAAATCTGAGTGTATATGGCTTTGCAGTTTGAGTCAAATTTAAGGGAAAATGTGAGGTTGAATTTCTAAATATACATAGAACATGTCTGTGCGTTCGCTTGATACCTTACAGCTTGTGACTTTTATAATTTCAGCAAAGATTAAATGGCAAATGTGATACAGAGTATAAAGATGGTCGCTAAGGCCCATCTTAAAAAGCACTTTACTTTACTTTGACTGAGAGCATACTTATCTTATATTTTAGCTCATCTCTCACACTGCCCAAGCAAGTACACTCAAAACATGGAGGTAAACGAAGAAGTAGGGTTGGTGTAATGTGACATTTAGCATCTTAACACAGCAACTCTTTTGATAATTTCTGCAGGAAGGAGCAACAGAATTTAATGTTCTGGAGAGAAGCCACATTTGGTTATGCATATCATAACGTGCCTTTTTTGTAACTGTTGTGTAGTTTTTTTGGATGCCTGGATTGATAGATTTGTTTTTGTTTTTTTAATTTGCAGCTTTATTTTGGTATTTTATCACATGCCTTTTGTCAGCTGCAAGTTCAAACAAGGTCACTGCACCCATCAGCATCACTTATATGCATACAACAGTTTATTCACTTACATGAAAGCTCAACAAAGAGTACCACTGGGTGTGAGTTACATGCAGCACCCGAACAAGTCGAGTTAAGCTTTAGGAACCTCTTCTTGGGAACTCTGGTTCGAGCGCATGGAAGTGTTTACCCGCAGTCGGTCGATAAATTTGGGATAATTTGAATATTTGAACACACTAAGCCAAAGCTTGTAGCAGCTGAAAAGCGATAAAGGGAGGAAATGGTTGATGTGACAAGAAAATAAAATCTTAAATCAGAGATGCAAAGTGTGGATTCACGAAAACCCGAGTCCCAGAGAAGGTTTAGGGATTTATAGTGAACTTTACAACAGAATCCACTAAATGCAGACAACCACGAGGGTCTCTGTATTTTGGATCAGCAGGCTAATGTCAAAACAGTGGTAATGATGCACTTTAAAGAGATGCTTCAGGACTGCACAGTGTGAAACACCAGTGTCGTTGGCTTGTTTAACTTTTAGCTTCACTTTTTTTTTGAGCAGCCTGGTGCAAGTGTGAGACAGAGACGAGGGTACAGGCTGAGAAAACGACTGACCTTTGTGGGATTATCGTATTGTGCTTTACATTTTACCTTATCTGTGACTCTTGATGGCATATTCCGTGTCACTGTCCACCTGTAATAGTTACATGCACAAATGTGTCACAAGTAAGACAAGTGCCAAGGGGTCATTAGGGTTCAAACTGTTAAAAAATAAAGTAGTGGCTGTCTAACACACCTTCTTTTAAGGAATACTTTGAAACAAACTGACAAAATAAAGATATCGAGTGAAATAATTGATGTGTTTCATCTTTTTTTTTGTATCAATCACACACACCCACTGGCTGCTCGTTTAGCACAGCTTGTTAATACTGGGATGGGTCCAGACATGATTGTAATATATGGTTATCTGAGTTACTGTTGCTTTCCAGTCAGCTTATACCTAATAAACTGACTGGTGAGTGTACATCACTGATTTAAATGATCTTAGAGCCTGTGCACACAGGTAGGTGCAAAGCAAACATAGTTATGTGCAAGTGTAGGGTGCACATAGGTTCATCTTTTCCTCTGTGCAATTGCCAACATAAGTCTGCTATTGCCTATCCCAGCATACTCCCATTGCTGCATGGCAGTAATACAGTTTTTGGCCTTTGACAGAAAAGCAATTTATAAATTTTCACAGCTTGCCAAGTCTGAGCCAGTATTTTCTAGGAAAAGGTTTGAAAAAAAAATGATAGGAAGTCATAAAGCACATAGAGAAAAATCAAGTGCAAGAGTTTAGAGATGCACTGGGGTGATAAAAGGATGGAGGTAACTGCAGAGAAGAGAGCAAGAGGGGGATTTAGCATCACTCACATGCTGCGCTCGATCATTCCCTCTTTTGTGCAGTGGACAATGAGGGCCAGAGGTACGGGGGCTTAAAAAGGATACGCGCAGTGTCACAGCCAACAAACCTGGAGAGCGACCAGCCAAAACCAGAGGTATCAGTTTAAAAATGTACAAGTGTAAAAGAACGTAACTGAGTGTATTTGCCAGGAAAATATTAGAGTCTTTTTTGGCCTTAAAGGGAAAAGGACAAATTTGCTTTTGAAGAGGAAAACCTACAAAGATATAGAAGACATGAGGTGTCAAGATTGGTGATTTTTATTTATATATTTATTTATTTTAACTGAGAAAGGATCTGTACAGCTTACAAACTGGACCTGTGACCCCAGTGTTGGTTCATGTTACTTGATAGAAACATATGGGACTCAGGTGTAAAATTTCTTTGGATGTTTGGACATTTTTTTGGTGAGAAGTACGGAAAAAGTGAGTGCATGAAGTTGCTGGTTTACTGGCTGGCTGACAGAGAGCAGCAGTGCTGACGGTTCAGTTACTCAGTGATGGAAGATTAGTTTGTGGAGCACGGAGGGGAATTAGTGATGAACAATGGCTTTGAACTGCCTGTTAGGCAAGCTTTTTGCCATACAGCAGTTTGAGTCAAGTGTTTTTCTGACTATAACCAATTTTAGAATTAAATTAAAAGCACATTTATCTGATGTGGTGATACGAGATGTAACTTTTCCATCAAAACGCATCAAGATAATCTCTCGAGATTTAAAAAGGAAAGCGTGCTTTAAACAGAAAGAGGTCGCTCCTCAGACTCGCAACAAGTTTTGGATCGCCTTTATTGCAGTTATAAGAACTAAGCCACGTGCATGTGTGGCAGGGACTCGCTCTTTGCTGTCTTACTAGATGTAGATTTGGTAATGGATTTCTGTAATTAATGAGGAGCTTAGCTTTGTGCATTTTTATGTGATCATCTAAAAGACTCGAGGGTCGACAGGAGAAAAAAAATCCAAAGACTGTGTGCAGCTGATCTTTCAGGAAATGAATATGTAGGTGTTGTGCACAAACTCTTAATTCTGTATTTTCCCCCAACTCTGTCCTCTCTTCCCCGAGCAGCTGTTGAATGTTTAGGAGGACAGTCTCTTGCCAGGCGTCTCCACAATGCTCTATACTTTAGCAGGAGGAGGCACCCTCTGCGGCGTGGCCGCCCTTGTGCTTCTCATAGTTTCTACAGCGACGGACTTCTGGATGCAGTATCGATACTCTGGCAGCTCGGCCAATCAGGGGCTTTGGAGATTCTGCATCAACCACAAATGCCACGCCCACACCATCACTGTAGGTGAGTGGTCCACCTCAAGATTTTTTGTAACAAACTCATAAATTTAACTGTAACAAAAGTATCTGAATTCATGCAGACTATGTTGTGAGTAGAAAAATTAGTACAGCATAGAAAGCTAAAGCAAGTGCACATGGTTTATATGTAAGACTGCAGTACCTCAGTTATTCAAAAGATAATGTTTAGCACATTTAAAGGGCTACATACTGAACTCAGAGGATATTGTGCTAGTATCGACCCAATAGCAATATCAGTGTTGCTAGCAATACTGTCCACCTACCTCTACACTGCAACTGTGTGCTTTCTCTAAAAGTTAACTGGCTACAATTCTTATTTACAGTTAAATATTTTAAGCAGATGATTAAATAATCAAATTCATGGCAGGTTTTGTGACTAAGGCAACATGAGCTGCACAATCAGTGCAAATGTAAGTGTAGAATCAGCATGTGGACATGGTTCTGACCTTTTTGTTTCCAGCCTTCTGGGATGCCACACGGGCCTTCATGCTGCTGGCAGTGCTGAGCTGTTTTGCTGGCGTGGTGCTTGGACTGAGCGCTTTCACTAACGGCACCAAGAACAGGAGAGTGCGCACAGGTGGCATCGCCCTGGTCCTGTCAGGTAAACCAAGAGTGATCAGATCAGAAAATACAAATTTCAATACAGTTTTATTTACACTCAATAATCACAACAACAGTCACACGACCAGTTGGGGGTCACTGGGGGCAGCCTGATGCCAGCCCTCTGTCTTGGGTTTTATTTTTGGAACTCTTCCCATCATGTAAAAGATTCCAGAAGCAATTATACATTCAAGTCCTGAATGCAAACTAATTAACTAAATGTCTTGTGTTGATTTTTTTCATATTTTGGGGGCAACATACAGGTCTCAAAGAAATATGTCTTCATGTTTTACCCAGTGGATTTGTTCTGTCTCTGTTCTCAGGTTTTCTCGCTCTGCTGGCTTTGGCAATTTACACTGGTGTGACTGTTACCTTCTTTGGCAAACGCTTCTTGGACTGGCGCTTTTCCTGGTCCTACATCATAGGCTGGGTTGCCATTATTTTGGCCTTTGCAGCAGGTTTGAATTGTATTTATTTCTGATTTTAGGAGTCATGTTTAATGTGAGTGAATCACAGGCAACATACTTTTTTTAAAATTATTTTTTAAATATTTTATTACTATTTACTATTTTTCTAATAAGTAATAAAACCAGAGCCTCAGTGTGAGGCTTTTGTCAAATATCAAACTTGATAAAATGACAAAAAGGCATTTTCTGGACACATTTAGGTGGACTAAGCAGCTTCTTGGCATTTCCTACCTTAGTAACAATAACTCATGGCTACTCCGTCCTTCTGAGCTTTCATTGTTTGAGAGTCATCGTTTTTAAGAAGGTATTTTAATCCTTATCTACATGTCATTTCCTTTTAGGCGTGTTCCAACTCTGTGCCTACCAGCGGACCACTGCAGAACCTGCTCCTGCCAATAACCCGGAGAGCTGAACAGCACTAACGCACTGCTCTGCTTGCAGACTGTTGCTGCTTGAGTACCTAGGATGGAATAAATAAATATAGATTCCTTTCTTTCTGGTTTCCCTGCAATACATATTTGACACCACGTGCTAGTACACCACTGCTTTTACTTTAATGTAGATACATAATCTGAAACTGTGTGAATTATTGATTTAAAACCAATTGAAAACTAATATTCCAGTTGGTTTTTAACACTTTATCTAACCAGAAAGTCAAACTCTTAAAATGAATGTCGTTTAAAGGTTATGTGACGGATTGTCCACTAGATGGTGCTCTAATGCCACAAACAGGAGGTATGTAAGCGCTCTGCTCAAGGAGTCTTTTTCCTTAAGTTATGCAACTCGGGCTGTAAATCATCTATGACGTTTCAGTAAGTCTTGATTCTGCCTGTTCATCCGACTCTATTAATATTTACCAACTATATAGATACAAGTCATCAACATATAAAGTAAGAATTAATTGTTGATACTGCTGGGAATACCTTTATATCAGTATCAGGTAATACCAAGAGACAATAATTATTGTAAAAGTCTTAGTGCACATTAAACGCTAAAGACTCAACCATGAATTTCCTGCATACAACACGGAAGAATGTGTTTTTCCCATGACTTCCAGTTACAACTCATACCTGATTTTCAATGCCTGTGTGCGTGCTAGTAAATCCCCAGGCGGCGGCCGTGGGTTTAGAAATTTCTCAGCAAACACTGGCATGAATTGGAAATGGGTTTAAAAGGTGTGTAGTTATTTAGATTGGATAGTATCCAAGTTACCTGCCACTCCCAGACTTCATGTTTTCCATCCGTTTACCACGTCCAATTTATCAAAATAAAAAGGAAAAAATATAAAGAACAGATCACAGGATATTATTTACTGAAACATTTGATTTATTTTGAACAATAGCAAAGTCATCTCACAGAGACTACTTTGAATCACACAGAATGCAAATAAATATGGGACAATA